AACCTTTTTCCAGATATATATTCAAAGACACGACAGTAACGGATCGGAGCATAACTGTAAAGTAACACATAGATCTAAATGTGGACAATTAGCTTTCAGGGCTATCAACTCTGGAACACTTTACCAACTGAAATCAAATGAATTCCAGATATAAAGTCCTTTACAACAAAGATTAAGTGCTTGCTAAAAGTAGACCCGTTTTCAGCTAATTGCACTGTAAATACTCCTGTAAATTAGTAATGTATGCTATAAACTCTCTGTGCACCAGTTTCATGCTCTGCATTGGAGCTACATTAAAGTGCATATAGTCCCTATAAAGTAAATGAGACAAAGACAAAACCTTTGAATAGAAATAGAGCAACAGAGGAGGGATCCTGCTGCCAGGACAGCCAGAAATAACAATAATATAATTACACTATGGAGAAGAATGACAGTAAATAGAGTGCAACTCTCTTCAACAATCTTTAGGTGAAGCTCTTTGTTGTTCTGAAGCCACCTCCTTCAGCTCAATGTCACGTTCATGTTCAACACAGCTGTTTATTTTCTGTCCTGCTGTTTGCTGTCAACAGTGACTTCTCATCATCACCAAAGCAACAGGTGGGCTGCACCTGCTGTCAGGAGATAACTGAATCTGGTGAGAGGCACGGTGAGGCGGGCCAACAAATATATTCATCTATCAGGGGTTATGACATTAGTGTTGGCTGGGGATGTAGGACGATATCGTCATCAGAAGCGGCAGATAAAGGCTTTCAAATTAGATATCGGCATCGGCCGGAAATTAACATTTCCTCCAACATGACAACGGGCCGTTTGCTGCTCGTTATTTACGACCAATAGGCAACATGAGCGGAGAGACTGGAGCTTGGGTTGAGAGACGACGTGTATGACTGGATTGTTTCATAAGTAGTCATTTTACCAGCTCATTGTAAACCGATGACAATCAAAATCATCGTCAGACGATCACCGCTGGGTTTCCCAGAATGCATTTGGGCCAAAGCATTCTGCCTCCTTTGCCCTCCACATGCTCTGTTGATCTTCATTCCACCAAAGACTGCTCGAACGTGATTGGTTAATACTACTCGGACTACAAACCAGATCCAGAACCAGAACGCTTCCGAGACCAAAATCGAGTACATGACCCGCTGACGAAGCGGGTGCAAAAACAAATATATCTGCACTGTCACATGTTTCCTGTGGTCAGAGATTACAAAGTTTTATAACTAGTGAAATAGATCAAATTGTCCTGATTGTGCCTATTTTCAGCATGCAGACCTGTTAAAGTCTTTTAATTTAGTTTGAACAGGTCACATTTAAATATATGGGACATGTTTTACATGTAACCCGAGTTGAAGTTGTTTTCTCATTTTGCCCAGTGAATGTAAACATTCTGCAAAGCATCGTATGTTATTTCTGCCTCTGACAGAAATAACATTTCTTCTTACAATTAAATGATGAATGCACTTGCAAATGAAGAAGAAGAACAACATGTAAACCCTACTTTGGTGTTTCAGTTTCACTTCTTTACTAAAGATTTTAGTAAACCTGCTGATCGATAGAGGAAACCATGAGCTGCATCTTTGAGTGGGTTTAATGCTGATGCCTCTTCCAGCTCTGAGTATAACAGAAGGCAGGATCAAATGTTGATTCCACTAAAGGAGAGAATTGATGTTCTTTGCAAATAGGTGGAAAAAATATGTGTGTTTATCGATATTAGTAATCAGCCAAAATGAGTTGGAAAATATTGGCATTTCAGGATATCGGATATCAACACAAATCCAATATGCTGCATTGAACCCACTGACATGCAGAGATCCCAGTGGTTTCACACCTACTGTAGATGACGTGTGTTAGCACGCTGCCTTTAACATTAAACCTGCAAAGCTTATTTCCGATATCTTGCTCCAGCCTCATGGAAGCATTATCAACTTGAAGCTATTTATTTTTTAAATCTCTGGGTTGTTTCTTTCATACATCAAATAAATGTTACTCGTAGTATCACATGAGTGGTTAGCACTCACAGCCCAGAATTCATATTATTTCAATGCGTTTCTTCTCGGTTCATGCAGGTTAGGTTACTTAGAAACTTAAGAAAATTGTTTTTTCTTTGCCAATATATCTCCTGCTGGGTCTCCTACTTATTTTCCCCATGCACTTAAATGGAAACTCTAGAATTGCCTGTGGGTGTAAATGTGATTATCATTCAAATTTTTTGTTAGAAAATTGTAAACTCTTCAAAGGTGTAAAAGACAGCTCTCATTCCCTTTACGTATGTTTCTGAATATTAATTAAGAAACATTCCCTCAGGATATCCAGACAGTCAGACTCAATCTCCTTTATTTGGTCAGTGGTGTGTGTGTGATTTAAGACGTGTGTCCGGTTGTTGTTTCTGATAACTATCGATGGATCAACTGATCAATAAACTCTGTACAATGCACCGTTGGAGGGACGAAGCTACAAACCCTCCACTCTTTGTGGAACATGTTTGGACTCCGCTGCCTTTGGGCAACCACTCCAAATTGTTTTGCTAAAAATAGAAGTAAACAAACGTCATGATACACTAGCGGCGCAGAAAGAGAGCTGTCAAAACCCAGCAAGTAATCTATCAATCATTTTCCTCCAGTGATTAAAGCTGCACTTATCAATATTTGTGCATGAACAATGGGGAAAAAAGACTATTATGTGAAAGAGTTCGCTCAAAGTGATAAACCCACAGAGAATTCTCATCCGACTCTTCAGCTCTGGGTTTTAGCATCTTTCCACCTTTAGGATGTTTAGATCTTTACAGCAGCTTCACTGTGTTGGTTCGCTCTCACGACTCTCGTTAACCTCGCCTTCCAGCCTAATCGCCAGGAATGTTTTGGGGATACGTTGAATGTTGATGCTTTTGCATTCGGTGAGAGGAAGTGACGTAGTATATCTAACCCTTATTGAAAGTTACGTGGTATAATAATTGTACAATATTGCGATCAAGAAAGTCCACAAAGCGTGTGGGAGGGGTATTGGACAAGTCCAGCAAAAAACACAGGACTTTCACTGAGGACGCCGCTGTTCGTGTCCCGTGTGGAACCGAGTCAACATTGACTTTATACTTTTTACCCAAAGTTGCGTAGCTTTACATTAGACAGTCCACTATGGGCGCTTGTTATAAATTCACCGTGGCTACGTTTTTGTTGCGTTATTGTTTTAACGCAAACAATACACTTTTTTTTCTAACCTTAACCAAGAAGGTTTGTTGTTGAAAACTAACTAATCGTTTCACAATTTAAACATGTTGCCTTGTGAGTTCCTGCTGCATGATATGAGGCTGATATGAAACTTATTTATGAAACGTATATATTTGGCTTTGACATTTGATATCCGTGAGTTGCAGAAACGTACAATGTCAACATTTTTGCTGTTGACTGTGTTGCGTCTTCAGCGAAGAGAGCTCAAATGAACCGACTGTATAGTTAGAGACTTCCTTGAGATGAAAGTGAAGCATTTGCTTAACAGACAGATGTTGGTGAAGATTATATTTTTTTAAAGTGTTGAGTCAGCCAACTCTAAATATGACTTGTTCTGCTAAATGGTTGTTATTCATGCTTGAAGGTGCTCAATCTGAGGGCAGATTGAGAAAAGTCACCTAATGTCCTCGAGGAACGTTACACCACAACCTCCAGAGGAACAGATCAGAGCGGTGATGCGTCTCCTTGCAGGACTCTCGGGGCCATCGCACAAAAACTAATGAAGTCGTGTTTGTGAATGACATGTCGCCTGGTTGTTGTGAATGAAATGTTAAATTGGTTTCTCAGTCATTAAAAGTGGGGGAGAGAGAAACATGAGTCATGCAGCCTCGAGCACAATCAAAGCTTCCTGCTCCTCCATCTCCGTCAGCGCCGATGGACCCAAAACAGGCGGCTCAGAATTGAGCGATCAGTGCAGTGAACCGGGGAAACAATACTCAAGCACAGGATTAAGAAAGCAATATCTGCAACACCAGCAGTCATGTGTCATATGCAGTGGTTGCATAAGAGGTAAAATGATATCATTTAGGGTACATGATTAGTGAGTTAAACACAAAATGGGAGTATTTATATACATTTAGATTTATTTCACAGTAGACTGTTGCAGTATATTTGTTTGCTTTGCAGTGTTTCTCTTTCCCAACTCTTCCTGCTTCCATTGACCGCATCACTAACATCATTTATCTCAAATATGGAGTTCAAAGTAATTATCCCTTTAATTTGTGGGTTTGTGATGCTTTTGCACCAATAAAAACTGAGACAATTGTTTTATTGTTAAGCATAATGCTTTGCATTATGTAGCAGTAGTTTAATCACATTCTAAGTGAAACAAAACTATATAACAAGGACATTTGTACCTATTTCGTCTTTATACTAATGAGATGGTCTGCTACACGACTTCAGCGGTTTGACAAATCTTCATTTCCCTTTCAATAATAACTTGATTACAGCTGGTTATAAAATCAGTTTGTCCATTTGGCTCTCGGTCTCTGCATGAAAAGTCCAAACAACTTTCAAAGGGATAAAGCTCACTACGGGTGGGAGGTTGAAGGAAGAATAACGAGAGGCGTTTAGCGCCAGCTCTGTTCGGTTTTCTTCATCATTTACAGCAGAAGAAGGAGCGACTGAGTCACCAAGTTTAAATGCAGGAGAGGCTGCAGAATGCCATTCTGGGGTAATAATAGAAGAGTATTAAAGTAATATGTGGCGACTTACTGCTGATCATCGTGGAATAATAAACAAAGCAGTGTTCATCATTGCTGATTCATTTGAGGCTGTAATCCAACAGATTCACAAAGTGTCTGATTCAAATGATAATCTTATGATGACAATATATTACAGACAATTGTTTAATGCCTCCTCTGTTTTAAAGCCTCCATCCTCCATCCAAGAAATCAGTAACGACCCCTTGCAGAACTGCTGCATGATGTTGTTGTTGTTGACTTTTTGAGGCATATTTTGCCCAGCAACTTTTACGGGATGACTCACCCAAGGCAGCTGTTACGCATGACAAAAAAAGGAAAAGAATAAGGTGGAGCGAACAGATGCAGGAGTCAGATAAAAAAAAGGTGTTTGGCGCGGGGAGGGGAGGGGGACTATTTGAGACAAGAGTGAGAGAGAGGGGGGCCCCACATGCTGCCGCGCATCGGGACCATGCAGACCACCTCCAGGATGCTCAGCGGGGCGCTCCTCTGCGCGCTGCTGCTGCTGCTCTCCAGAGCCGCCAGAGCCCAAGTGTTGGACCCCGAGTCCGAAGAGAAGCTGAGCCCCAGAGCCCTGCGGGACTTCTATCCGAAAGGTCCGAACCTGACGAGTGAGAAGCAGCTGGTAAAGCTTTATTATTACTTCACTTCTGCAAAAAAAAGACCTTTACAGCTAAATGTGTTTCTTTTTGCACGTTACTTTGAATTTCAGTTGTGTTGTGTTGAGCAGTTTTAGTAAATGTGGCCATTGAGCTCCAGTTTGTTGTCGCCTCAAATGAACTCCATTCAGAAAAACATGCATTTAAGATGTACTTCTGTTCTGTGCAGATAATTACGCGTTTGACATTTCATATCATCGAGTTGTGTCCTTTTAAACAAAATATGCAACTGTTATAACTACATTGCATATTATTATATAACTTTGTAGAATCCGTTTGCAGTTGTATTATATGTGTGGCTAAAATAAAAAAGGCACATTCATTGAGAACTTTCTTGTTTGTTCTTATGTCTGTCAGCTCGGAGCTCTCCAAGAAGTTCTCGAAAAGCTGCAAGCTAAACGACTCCCTTCATGGGAAAAGAAATTTGGCCAAGTCCCAACGGTACTGTATCTAAACACATTGTATTGATTGCTATTGCGTTGATTGCATTCATGTCGCGGAGGGGGGGGGGGCCGAAATGAATCAACCCTCTGGTGCTGTTGCTTCTCCCTCAGTGTGATGTCGGGGAGCAGTGCGCCGTGAGGAAAGGCGCTCGGATCGGCAAGATGTGCGACTGTCCCCGGGGAGCTTTCTGCAACTTTTTCCTGCTGAAGTGCTTATGAGCCTCACCGGCTCTGAATGTAGCATCGAGAAGGAGAGAAGAAGAAGAAGAAGAAGAAGAAGAAGATTCTTTTGTAATTACTCTCATATTTTTATGATACAGCTGAGGAGCAGGTTTGGTGACTGGCCGACACTTACGAAAAAGAACTGTAGTTCTATGATCAAATATATAAATACATTATATCACAGAAGAAACTGTGAGGATATTTATCGCGATGGACAGGAGATGAGAATACTATAAAGTCCCATTAAGTTAAATATCCAGAACCACTTTATGTCTGTGAAACCACAGGGTCGTTGTTGTGATGTAGTAGCTTCTAAATAACCCACAATGCACAATAAACTATAAGAGGACCACGTGCACGCTGTTGAGTCTTAACAGCAGCATCATGAACATTATAGTGATTCTTCGTCTGGGGAAAAATCCATAAATATGTCTTTTGAACTATTTTGTTTCAGATTGTTTGTGTATGGAATCATAATTATAGTGATATATGATAATAATAAACATTATTGTTTTGTAAAGCAGTGGAGTGAGTGCATATTATTTTTTTTGAACACTATTCAATGTGCATGTGTTGATTTTTTATTTTTTTTAAGATGTTAAAGAGGTCAGTCAATATTTGAGGAATGACGTGGTTGTGACTGCGGTCTGTGACGTCACGCCTCCAGGGGGTTGTTGTTGGCCAGAGACCGTCACGTGCATAATGGGGCTGAGAAAGAAAAGTAACCTGCAGCTCATGATTTCAGATTTAAACTGAAGATTAAAACTAAAGAAGACAGTCTATCGGATTCATGGCACTTGTGCAGCAACCTCATATTTAAGCTTTAACATCAACACATCCAGATGTGCTGGGCAGCTTACGATCAAAGTCCTTTTCTTCACTCAAACATCAGTGACTGTTACTTTATTTTTGACGTTTGAGCTGCAGGACGAGGTTTGATTTCACAATCACATCCATCTGAAGTGTCTCCGTGCTGACTTTAAATACAGTTTAAGACTTTTTTGGTTTTAATTGACCAAAAACCAATGTGAAAAGAATTCAGGTAGATATTATACATACAGAACATATGGAGGTAAAATAATACACTCAAATATAGAAAATAAAAAAAGAGATTGAAGAACAATTACAAAAACGTGAGTAGATATACACACAGCTATAAACAAAGGCAATCAGATGGATTTGGGAAAAAGGAACCATCATTTTTGTCCCAATAGGTTTTACTTTTCTTTACATGAACTGAGCGAGTTGAGAAGAAAAAAGGTAAACACTTTTATCTGATATCCCAAATTCCCTCTGTGAAAACCTTTGACTCTATAATGTCAACCAAATGAAACTGATTTTGAACCTGGCTTTAACCAATATTCAGATATCTGTTCTAGACATTTATGCAAATTAGCACATATTTGATAAGAAAGTACCTCGTTTGCATATTTAAAAAACATTTGTCTTTATGTGGGGATTTCAAGTGGGGAAGTTTCATGGTGATATCTATTGGTTATTAGTTTTCAACCCATTCACCTGGAGTATTTTCTGACTAAAATAACATTTGGAATGATGGACTTTTACTTGTAACATAGTATTTTTACATTGTGGTACTAATACTTTTGCCCAAGAAAAGGATCTGAATACTTCACATGACATGTTCATAAACCCTTCATAGTGAAAAACACTGGAATGTGAATCAATAAGATTCATCTAATAAACATCATCATTGAACATTTACTGGTTTATTCCCTCTATTAATAATAATAATAATGATATTTCTTCTGGACTCCTCTCTGTTGTTTTAGTTCCTCTGTTTAGTTCTTTTCATATTCCACATCACTGTGCTCATCTGGTATCCACCCGTCTCTTCCTCTCTGCTGTCAGCAGTCATCAATAATGCAGCGGAGACAAGTACAAAATGTTGACTTAGTCCATTGCTGCTCTGCTGTGTGTGTGTGTGCGTACACCTGGGATGTGTGTCTACACCTGGGGTGTGTGTGTGTGTGATGTGTGTGTACACCTTGGATGTGTGTGTACACCTGGGGTGTGTGCGTGTGTGATGTGTGTACACCTGGGATGTGTGTGTGTGTGTGTGTGTGATGTGTGTGTACACCTGGGATGTGTGTGTGTGTGTGTGATGTGTGTGTACACCTGGGATGTGTGTGTGTGTGATGTGTGTGTACACCTGGGATGTGTGTGTGTGATGTGCGTGTACACCTGGGATGTGTGTGTGTGATGTGCGTGTACACCTGGGATGTGTGTGTGTGTGATGTGCGTGTACACCTGGGATGTGTGTGTGTGTGATGTGCGTGTACACCTGGGATGTGTGTGTGTGTGATGTGTGTGTACACCTGGGATGTGTGTGTGTGTGATGTGCGTGTACACCTGGGATGTGTGTGTGTGTGATGTGTGTGTACACCTGCATGTGTGTTGGGGAGTCAACATACTATTTCGTTTGTGCTGTCGATCAATCTAATCACAGGTTTTCGTGTTTGTGCTGTGATTTCCTGAAAAAGCTGCATCATCACTAATATTTCACCGACCGCATTTTAAACTGCAAAGTGAGACGAATAAAAGCTTTCTTAGAGGGCTTACTTCAGTGTTTTCAAACTGTGTTTTTGTTTCTATGGGGTCAAATATTTTTTTAATTGGTCCGACATTGAACGAGAGCTGCAATGTAGAAAGTAAAAGTGCTTGTTTTTGCCTCAGATTGTTGTTTTAAGTGTCTGATAACAGGACGGACGTAACGGGAAAATAAAACGTTTTTCTTCACCTTTAGCTCAATCTCTGAACCCATCTGCTATCTAATAAGGAGCTAAAACATTGTGGGCGCCGCGGGTTCCCAGATTGCATTTCAGCCAAATTGTTCCGCCTCTTTTGCTCTTGACACAGATTGTTGACCTGCATTCAACCAAAGACTGCTCCAACGTAATTGGTCAATACTACTCAAACAACACAAACAAACAAACAATACCCAAATCTTGCCATGTTGCATACAAATTCTACATGTGAATGTGGTTTAGAGCAATTTACGGCTCATTTTTTTAAGGATTAGATCGTGAAATACTTAGCTAGGTTTAAGAAAAGATCGTAAAATACTTTGTTAGGTTGAAGAAAAGATGGTGAAACACTTAATTAGGCTTAAGAAAAGATTGTAAAATACTTAGTTAGGTTTAAAAAAAGATCGTAAAATACTTTGTTAGGTTGAAGAAAAGATCGTGAAATACTTAGGTTTAAAAAAAAATCGTGAAATACTTAGTTAGGCTCAGGAAAAGATCGTAAAATACTTAGTTAGGTTTAAGAAAAGATC